AAAGAAAAGAAAGAAAAAAAAAGAAAACAGGCTGAACAAGCCAGGGGAAGCAAGTCAGTAAGCAGCACCCCTCCATGGCCTGTGATTCAGCTTCTGCCTCCAGATTCCTGCCCTGTTTGAATTTTTGTTCTTGACTTCCTTCCGTGATGAATAGTAGTATGGAAGTGTAAGCTAAATAAATAATTTCCTTCCCAACTTGCCTTTTGTTCTTGGTGTTTTGTCATGGCAATAGAAAACCCAAGACCATGAATAAAGCTGCTATGAACATAGCTGAGCAAGAGTCCTTGTGGTAGGATGGAGCATATTTTGGGTCTATGCCCAAGAGAGGTATAGCCAGGTCTTGAGGTAGATCAATTCCCAGTTTTCTGAGAAACCTACATTATTTACTTCCAAAGTGGCTATACATGTTTGCACTCCCACCAGCAACGGAGGACTCTTTGCTCCATATCCTGGCCAGCATGAGCTGTCATTTGTGTTTTTGATCCTAGCCAAGATGGAATCACAGAGTCATTTTGATTTGCATTTCTCTGATGGCTAAAGATGATGAACATCTCCTTAAGTGCTTCTCAGCCATTTGAGATTCCTAAGAATTCTCTGTTTAGATCTGTACTCCATTTTTAAACTGGCTTATTTGGTTTTTTGATGTCTAGTTTCTTGAGTTCTGTATGTATTTTGGATATCAGACCTCTGTCAGATGTGGGTTTGGTGAAGACCTTTTTCCATTCTGTAGGCTGTCATTTTGTCCTGTTGACAGTGTCTTTTGCCTTACAGAAGCTCTTCAGTTTCATGAGGTCCCATTTATTAGCTGTCGATCTTAGTGCCTGCACGATTGGTGTTCTGTTCAGAAAGTCATCTCCTGTGCCAGTGAATTCAAGGCTGTCCTCCACTTTCTCTCCTGTCAGGTTCAGTGTAACTGGATTTATGTTGAGGTCTTTGATCCACTTGGACTTGAGTTTTATAAAGAGTGATAGATACAGATTTATTTGCATTCTTCTACATGCTGGTATCCAATTAGGCCAGCACCATTTGTTGAAGGTATTTTCTCTTTTATGTTGTATAATTTTGGCTTCTTTGGCAAAAATCAGGTGTCCATAGGTGTGTGGATTTCCACCTGGGTGTTCAACTGAATTCCATTGATCAACCTTTCTATTTTTATGCCAATACCATGTAGTTTTTATTACTATTGCAGCTTGAAATAGAGGATGGTGGATGACAAGACCCCCAGTTCTTTTATTGTATAAGACCATTTTAGCTATCCTGGGTTTTTTGTTTTTCCATATGAAGTTGAGTATTGTTCTTTCAAGGTCTGTAAAGAAATGTGATGAAATTTTGAAGGGAATTGTAATGTTTTGTGTTATATTAGTTGAACATATGTTACATTTGTTTATGTTGTGGAACATTTGTTTAATGATGCAAAGATGTGTTGCATTCTTTTATGTTGCATTTGTTTAACTCCGTGAAGCTACATTACTTTGCCTGTCTAAAACACCTGATTGATCTAATAAAGAGCTTAACGGCCAATAGTCAGGCAGGAGAAAAGATAGGCAGGGCTGGCAGGTAGAGAGAATAACTAGAAAAACAAACCTGGGAAGAGAAGTGCAGGGTACAAAAGGAGAATGAGAGGAGATCATCAGGGGCCAGCCACTCAGCTACACAGCTATACAGTCAGCCATGGAGTAAGAAGTAAAGAAAGGTATATAGCATAGAGAAAGACAAAAGCCCAGAGGCAAATTAGATAGGATAATTTAAGTTAAGAAAAGCTGGCTAGAAATAAGCCAAGCTAACACTGGGCATTAATAAGTAAGAATAAGCTTCCATGTGATTATTTGGGAGCTGGGTGGCAGGCTCCTCAAAGAGTGTAAGAGAAAACACAACCAACAATAGTATTGAATCTGCAGATTGCTTTTGGTAATATGGTCATTTTTAAAATATTAATCTTACGGATCCATGAGTATGGGACAATCTTTCCATCTTCTGATATCTTTTCTAATTTGTTTCTTCAAAGACAAAGTTCTTGTCATATAGGTCTTTCACTCACTTGGTTAGAGTTAACCTAAGATATTTTATATTGTTTGTGGCTATCATGAAGGGTGTTGATTCCCTGATTTCTTTCTCAGCCCATTTATCATTTGTGTATAGTAGGGCTACTGATTTATTTATTTAATTTTTTTTTTGAGACAAGGTTTCTCTGTGTAGTTTTGGTGCCTGTCCTGGATCTCACTCTGTAGACCAGGCTGGCCTCAAACTCACAGAGATCTTCCTGGCTCTGCTCCCAAGTGCTGAGATTAAAGACGTATGCCACCACTGCCTGGTGGGCTACTGATTTTTTTAAAGTTAATTTTGTATCCAGCTTTTTTGCTAAAGGTGTTTATCAACTGTACGAGTTTTCCAGTTGAATTTTGGGGGTCACTTATGTATATTATCCTATCATCTGCAAATAGCAATACTTGGACTTCTTCCTTTCCAATTTGTATCCCCTTGATCTCCTTTAGATATTTTACTGCTCTAGCTAAAACTTCAAGTACGATATTGAATAGATATGGGGAGAGTGGACATCCTTTTCTTATTCTTGATTTGGAATTGCTTTAAGTTTTTCTCCATTTAATTTGATATTAGCTTGCTGTAAATTGCCTTTATTATGTTTAGGTATGTCCCTTGTATCCCTGATCTCTCCAAGACCTTTATTATGAAGGGTGATGGATTTTTTTCAAAGGCTTTTTCAGCATCTAGTGAGATGATCATATGTTTTTTTTTTCAGTTTTTTTATATGATAGATTAAATTGTCAGTTTTTGTTTGTTTGTTTGTTTGTTTGTAGATTTACCCATCCCTGCATCTCTGGGGTGAAGCCTACTTGATCTTGTTTAATGTGTTCTTGGATTCAATCTGCCAGTATTTTATTGAGTATTTTTGCATCAATGTTCATAAAGGAAATTGGTCTGTAATTCTCTTTCTTTGTTGGGTCTTTGTGTGGTTTGGGTATCAAGGTAATTGTGGCCTTATAAAAAGAATTTGGCAATATTCCTAGTGTTTCTGTTTTGTGGAATAATTTGAGAAGTGTTGGTATTAGCTCTTCTTTGAAAATCTGGTAGAATTCTGAACTAAAACTATCTGGCCCTGGGGCTTTTATTGGTTGGGAGACTTTTAATGACTGCTTCTATTGTCTTGGGGGTTATAGGTCTGTTTAAATTGTTTATCTGACCTTGTTTTGACTTTGGTAAGTAGTATCTACTTAGAAATTGTTTATTTCTTTTAGATTTTAAACAATATGGAAGGCTTTATGAATTTGCATGTCCTCCTTGTGCAGGGGCCATGCTGATCTTCCTTGTATTATTTCAAATTTAGTTTATGTGCTGGCGAAGTGAGCACAAAACTTATAGATTTTAACAAAGAGAATAGCATTAGAATGACCTTTGTATGTGCTTATGTGCATATTTGCCCATGTGTGTTTGTAAACATGTATGTGGGTACAGGTAGTTGTGTGTGTATGTACTTGTGTGTATGCATCTACGTATGTGTGTGTGTATGTTCATGCATATGTATGCCTGTATGTATGCACACATGTGTATATATGTGCCTGGGTACATGCATTTGTATATGTGCTTGTGCTAGTGTATATGCAAGTGTGGGCATGTGTACATTGGTGTGTGTGTGTGTGTGTGTGTGTGTGTGTGAGAGAGAGAGAGAGAGAGAGAGAGAGAGAGAGAGAGAGAGATTTGGAGCATGGTATATCCTGTGAAAGCAAATTTGACCAAAACTTTTCATGAGCAAAGTTCACTTTCTTTCTTTCCTTTCTGAAATTGCCTTGATGTTCCTTTGAGCAGAAGTTCCAGACTGTTCTTTGAACTGACCACTTAGTCCTCATGAGAAGGCTTTGAGGTAAGTCTTTTCGTCACATTCTTTTACAAGAAAGTAACTGGGAATAAAGGGATGATACCATTTGGCCACAGCCACGCCCACAAACTAAATGGCTAGAATTGGGACTGCAGCAACCAGGCCCCAAAGCATGAGCCCTGCTCACCTTGCCACAGTGGCTTGCTGAGCCATGGGGCTGCCTTCTTCCCTTTCACAGACACTACAGCAGAGCATTGCATCAGCGCCACGAAAAAGTGATGGGGTTTGCTTATTTGCTCTCTCATCGACAGTCTCCTCTAAGAACCTCTAACCGGCCCTCATGGGGAAAGTCCACATCCTTGAGGATTGGCTGCGCTGTGGGTTCATTCCTGGTGGGGAGGCCAGCAGCTTGCTACAGACAGAATGCTTTCCGTTCCAGCAAAACTCCTCCGATTGTGAGCTGAAAGCAAGAAGCCCTCTGCTGAGGTGCCAAGGAAAACACTCGAATTATGAAGTGTTTCTAACAAATGTTTCAGAGATTGTAAACGGGAAGTTTTCTAAATATCCAAGGAATCTGAAAGAAGCCAGCCCGGACTGCAAGCTGGCTCTGCAGCCAAGCAGTTCCAGAGAGTTTCCTTTTTTTTTTTTTCTCTGAAAACCAGTACGACTGTGGCAGTGATGCCTGTTCATCAATTGCCCAATGACACCAACATTTTTTTCTAAGACTGAATGATCCAAATAGTTTTATAGGTCTTTGATTTTGAAATATATGCAATTTTATATAATTTTGGCATCCTGTAGCAGCATTTCAAAGTGGAATCAAAGGTTTATCTTTATAAAGTTTATAATCATTCCACAAAGCTCAAGATGTTTGGCAGTGCTTGGAGACTTAAAAACAGTAATAAAAGGTTACCATGAGGAATTCAAAGCTGCCTTGTATGGTAATGCTGATTCAAGCCACCACATACTTCAGCATCCTAAATTCATCTGTGATTGGAGTGTTGGATCAGTACTATGGTGCTGCAGAGAATTTCACTGACTTGCCATTTAACAAGGGGCAAGGAGTTTCAGAACAGTGAAGTGCCGCAAATTTTAGAGAAAGGGAAAGGAAGAAAATGGAAGAAAGGGTTTGGGAAGGAAAGAGACACACACACACACACACACACACACACACACAGAGTAGAGTGTTGCATTTGGGGATGTTTTTAATCACACATTTATCAACCTTCCCAACTGTTCTTTGGTAACAAGAGCTGCTCTTTGCCTTGCAACTGTAAACTGCTTTTTTTTTTTTTCTTGCCAACCTGGAATGCACTCTGTATTCTTGCCAGGTCCAAGCTCACTCTAGATCTGTGATCCCTCATATGTCAAGGTCCTCAGTTGTTGGCAGCTAGTAAAAGGGCTTTTCTTATGAATTACAGTTGATAAGGAGGGTGCATGATATACCCTAGCCCTGCCCCATAATCTATATGGGATGCATTTAAATAGAAGACAAACCTAAAGTTTAGTTCAACAGTTGATTTCAAAGTCATTTTTTAAGAATAGAGGGCAGTTAAAAAAAAAAAAACTATGCTGTGGAAAAGTCCATCCCTCAAACATTGTCTGGAGACAGGGACAGGAATTGATCTGCTAAGCTAATGCTCTGTGGTTATTGATTAGGAAATAGCCAATTTTTGACCCCTTTAAATGACCCAGCTTTCTGACAGAGATAATAGAAATAGGTCATTGGTGCATTAAAGTGGAAAGATGTGCCATGAGAACACACAGGTACCATAGACACAACTTTTGGCTAATTTTCTTGAATAAATCTAAAGGTCCAATGAATCATGGCTTCAACAGCAAAAAGCTAAGACTCTTACAAGATGAGCGCTGTTTATGAAACTCATAGACAGATGTGAGAACATCGCTCACAAGCACATTCTTACAGGTTTACCCTAAGCTGAAAGTGCCGGTTTGTTGATCAGCAATGTGCCCTTATGCAGCAAAGTCAGTTATGACTCGCCATCACATTTGAAATTTCATTTCAGAGGAAATAGATACATTGTGCTTTTTGGATGTTGCTATTTTTGCTTTTGAATTTCATGAATACTAACATATCTGAAAATTTAAAAATACATAATGAAGGCATTTTGAATGATCAAGAAAGCAGAAAATTTGTGGCTATAACATTAAAAGTTTCTCTAAAAGATATATGCAAGGAAGTTACATATTCTACCAAATCATAGAGAATTACTAGTTTTTCAGAAATGTAGAATGTACATATGCCATAAATTTCTCTTTCACTGTCAAGCAATATATAAATATACCCTCTTTTTTCTTTCTTTTTTTTCTTTTCTTCTTTTTCTATTTGTTTTTCAAGACAGGGTTTCTCTGTGTAGCCCTGGCTGTTCTGGAACTCACTCTGTAGACCAGGCTGGCCTGGGACTTATAGAGACCTGCCTGTCTCTGTCTCACTAGTGCTGGGATTAAAGTCATGTGCCACCACACCTTGTGAACATGCCCTCTTAATTTGTGAATCTTACAATGTTTTTGAGAAGGAAGTATGCATGATGCCTACTAGTTTGGGTTATTATTCAAAGGAAAACGTCAAGTTCTTTCCCTCTCCTCACTTGTAACAAATATTTCAAAAGGCACCCAAGTGGTATGTGATGAGAGACATGAAAAGCAATCTTCAGGTAATTATAATGCTGACTTTATTAGAACGTCCCTTCAGATCCAATAATGTGATATCACAGGTAAAACTGATATCAACAGACCCATCAGATAGCACTCTAATGGCAGGTAGAAAATATCAGGTCTGTGTTTATTCATTTCTTTAACCAACAGGGCTCTCAGAGTTCTAAGAACTGTGATAACATTTGCTGGGGATGTCTTTCTGTATGCTGTGAATGTGTTGCTCTGATTGATTGATAAATAAAATGCTGATTGGCCAGTAGGCAGGCAGGAAGTATAGTATAGGCAGGATAAGCAGAGAGGAGAATTCTGGGAACAGGAAGACTGAGTCAGGAGAGTTGCCAGTCAGACTCAGAGGAAGTGAGATGTAAAAGTACTGGTAAGCCACAAGCCATGTGGCAACTTATAGATTAATAGAAATGGGTTAATTTAAGATAGAAGAACAGATATCAAGAAGCCTTCCACAGCCATACAGTTTATAAGTAAAATAAGTCTCTGTGTGTTTACTTGGGTCTAAGTGGCCAGCTGCAGGGCCACAGGACCTGAACAGAACCAGTAAAACTTTAGCTACAAACATTTGTACGGTGTACCCCAAACTCATGAGCTCAAGACACTTAGCATTTGGAGAAAGAAGCAGATATGTAACCAATTAATCATCATGGAATGTGGTCTTCCTGCTAATATCCTCTCTAATTCTTATGCTGACATTGTCTCTCCTAGAGGAGTAAGAGGTTATGGGAGTGCAGACTTCATCCTCCTTACAAAGGAGGCGTAAGAGGTCACTTGCTACTGAGTAGGAAAGTTGGCTGTCAATGAGGAAGTGGACCCTTATCAGACCTGGAGACTTCTCGCACCTTGATTTTGTGCTTTCAGCTTTAGAACTTAAAGCACACATGTGTTTAGACAACACATGAATCCTCAGAAGAGGGAAAGAAAGAATGAAAAGGAAAGAAAGAAAGGAAGGAAGAGACATCGAATGGAAAAACAAAGTTGGAACTGGATCCATAAACAGGAGTCTGAGTGGCCAGAAGGAAGGAGGCAGCACAGTGGACATGCTGGCGTCACAGTCATGCAAACAGAAGCATTATGTTTTCAGTAACAAGATCTGAGTGTTCATGTGACCCAGGAGGAGGAGTAATTTGACTGAAGGAAGAGAAGGAGCAATGCAGGGAGAGAGCAGCCTTTGAGCTGGTGAAGAAGAGAATGCATGAGGAAGACATGGTCGGCAGTGCAGCTGCACAGTTGTGCTTCCCAAAGGGTCCTTCACAGGACGACTTTACTTTACAAAGGCTTCACTGATGGCCTTCTTCCGAAGTTACTTGCAGTGAACTGACAAGGAAAGGGGTTTTCTCAAGCTCATTTAAGAAATTCTGAATGTATTTGTCCATATTATTTCTGTGTCTAATATGTAATGCAAGGTATTATAATAATGACAGCTCCCCATGCTTAATTGACCTTCCTGCACAGGTTATCATGAAGCATTAGTGTAGCATGTATGGTACTGTAAACAACAGAGTAGAACTGAAGATCATATTCACTAAAGGGAGAGGAAAGTCTCAGGAAGGTTTGAATTTCAGAAATTCAAGTTTGGCAAGGCTAAAAGGGGACTTGGAAGACTAAGTTGGGAAGTGGAAGTCTAGGGAAAGCCCATGTGAATGGCATAGAAAGTCTGAATTTGATACATTTTCAGAATTCACAGGACTAAATGGTTAATTAGTGGAGAATGGAGAGTTGAATGGGAGTATAAATGATGAAGTAATGAAGTCATCAAAAATAATATCATCGTGGTACTAAGACAAACTGATGGTAAAGGAGCTCTCAACATGGTACATTGACAAGGTCATCACACCACTACAAACAAT